AAAGGAAGAGAACTTTATGTGAGATAGGAGAAAAACTTGTGTCCGGTTGTTCCTGCTATTAGTTTAGCCAAGTAGTCTTAAGCTGGTGTCCCAGCTGTCATTTAATTAAGTGAGTTTGTTATTAGTTTAGAGCTTAAGTCTTTGACAGCTCATGTATTCCGCCAAAAGCTAAACTCTATAATAAACTGAGCTATAGCTAATATTGTATTAAGATCAATAGAGAAAATCAATAAAGAAATCTAGAACCTTTCAGTTTGTTCTTCGTTTCCTCTGTTCCTAAGCTTGCCTGGTTATCATGGTATCGAGAGCCTCAGTCGATCGTTGTGCCTCTTGACGTGATTTCTTGCTCTCTTCGCTCGCTATTCTCAGGTCTCTGATTTTATTTCTCCCAAATATTGGTTCAATGTTTATCTTCAAGAATGGTGATTTTGTCTCCTTGAAGTGATTTTTCAAAATTTGGTGAAATTGATATGGAATTTGTTGCTTATTCTTCGATTTCTCTTGATTCTTGGTGATTGATCTCTGGCATGAAGCTGTACTTCGTTGAATTTTGTTGATTTCATGGCATGAAGCCTTTTTTCTCTGGAATTTCTGTGATTTGTTGGCACGAAGCCTTGTGTGAAGCATTCTCGTTCAGGCACGAAGCCTTGTAGTGATTTCTTGCATCGATTGTGTTTCCTTTTGACACGTTGTGTTTTCCCGTGAATAATTCTTTGAATGTAGTCATGACGGTGAATTCGCCCAAAATTGAGCGTTTGCTGGGGATGTTTACCATTCGTTTGAATGATGATAATTTTGTCAAGTGGTCATTTCAATTTCAATCAGTTTTGCAAGGTTATGATCTTTTTGACCACTTTGATGGCTGTTGAGGCCCAAAAAAAATCCATGGATTGGGCCCGAGCAATTATCAGCCTAATACAATATTCCATAAGGAAAAAGAAAAAAAGGTCTATCACATGCAAGTTATAATCCACATGTCGCGCTAAATAAACAAATTATCATGCTATGATTCGCGATAAAAATATGATTAACTCATGCTAAAATTAAAACAATCCTTCCCAAGGGCGATAAATTAAAATATGCCAAGCAACATGTCATGCCGTTATCTCGCACCCAACCACGCTACAAGCCTAGGTGGGCCCAAGCCACTCAAAAAAACCCCGGGGCTTGCTTGAATGGGTTGTGGCATGGATGGTAATAAATCAACATGAGACCCATTGATGGGCAGGGAAATGAAAAGTCTCGGGTTACTTGGGAGCCTTGAGGCTCAAGCCCATTTCTTAGGCCCAAACATATGGGTAAGCACAAGAGAAAAAGATAGCCCAATACCCAAGCAAAACAACCCAACCAAAATAAAGCCCAAACTAAGAAGCCCAATGTTTAATAAAAACCCTTTGCTTAGGAAATCACCTTGGCCCATATAAAAATCCTAAAATAGTCCACAAAAACCTCAGCTTTTGTTTGAAGAAAACAGAAGACACGTGAAGAGAGGTTGGCAGACTCCTTAAGCAAAGCTGCTGGAAACAAGTCCCAAGCCAGAGACATCCAAAGAATCGATGAGTACTATCCCGCATGCTGTCAGAAGCATCCCTTGGACCAGTATGCATCTTCACTTCCTTTCCTTCGCCAGATTTGGTTAAAAACAGAGGAAAGGAAAGAAGAAAAAACAGCAAACCAAGAGTGGAAGCTCCCACTGCACGACTGCGGGAAAAGAGGATGTTGAGCCCCCAAATCCCCTGAATTCATGTAAATAGACAGAAGCAATCTTTGCCAAGAAAGGGAAGTCAGAGAAGAGGAGGAGAAAGGAAGAAAAAAACTTAGCCAAAATAAGTGGAAGCCATTAGGGCTTCTTGAAAAATGATGATTTCCAGCAGCTATAAATTGAGCCTTTCCCTACCCAACAGAGACAACCCACAACCTGCAGAGAGCAAGCTTTCTCTCTAACTTGCAAAAAAACTCAACAAACTCGTGCACTGTTCATCTTCTTCTCCAATTTGTTTTTCTGGCAACTGCCAGAAGAACTCTGCCTTTCTTTTTTCCTCTTTCCCTAGTCAAATTCCTCACAAAACACCTCATTCCTTACTTAAACACTTTCTTTTCTCATAAACCAAGCCTAATTTCTCTCTTAATGCTAAACTCATGTTGGTTTTGCTCCCATGCCACATAACACTCATGCTGAGCTAAAAAGACCATCTGTAAGCATGCCAAAACTATCTGCAAGTCACCATTATTCTCGCTGGTGAAGATTATCCAAAATATCTCTTAAGGTTTTGCTGCCCTTTCGAGGTATTTTGGGGCTTAATTTTCGAACCTAAACAAAAAGGGGCAATCTCCTCAGTCTGCCTTTTGCAGCAGCCCAGCCCATTAGCTGCAGGAAGAAAAAGTCCCCTACATAAATTGGCGACTCTGCTGGGGATTAAGCCATTATCTTCATCAATGCCTCCAAGAAAGAAGACCAGAAGCAACAACATGACTTCCCAGGATGGGCCAAGCCATGCTGATTCAGAGTCAAGGCAACATGCCTCTTCTAGGGAAGAAGAACGTGCAAGTGAAGGAACTTTTACCCTCACATATCTTGTTGCAGCCATTCGTGCTATGGGTGAGACCCAGAGGGAGATGGCAGAGATGATAAAAGAACTCAAAAATTCGGCTCCAAAGCCAAGTGAAGTGAACGAGAAGCACCCACAGGAGGAATCTGCTGCTGCCAGAAAGGAGTCTGAGCAAAAGGGACCATCTTTCGTCACTCAGGAGGACGTCGTTGCCATGCTGGAAAAGGAGCTGAGTCGAAGTCAGGAAGATTGGAAATACCTTCCTCAGCCGCCGTATCCATCAAGCTTACTCCAGCAACCATATCCTAAAGGCTATGAAGCACCAACCTTTGTCCTCTTTGATGGATGGAAGGGGAGCCCGAAGGAGCATGTCAATCGCTTCATTGATGCCTTGGGACCATATGCTGGTGATCATAATCTTCGACTTAGAGAATTTTCAAAAAGTCTCACCGATCGTGCTTACACATGGTATACAACGTTGGCACCAGGCTCTATTCACTCTTGGGAAAGCTTGGCAAAGAGGTTCTGTAAGAAGTATTTCCAGCATGAAGAACGAGTCACCACCACTCAACTCAACAACATTCGCCAAAAGCATGGTAAGGATCCTGTGGACTTTGTACGTAGGTTCCGGGACCTGGCATTGGATTGCTATGATGAGAAAGATGAGGAGGCGCTTGTTGAAATCTGCATCAGCAATATCGTGGCAGATTATAGAGTGTATTTGGAGAATATTGGTCAATTTTCTCGGCTGTTGGAAGCTGTGAGGAAGACGAGCATGTCCGTCAAGCCACCAGGACAAAAGACTTGGAGGAATGAGAAGAAGGAAGCGCATCAGGCATTAGCAATAGATGACAAGCCATCCAACGACTACAATTCACGCAAACGGAAGGATAGGGAAACGTATCCACCACTACCATGCAAAGATGAAGAATTTCATGCTATCCTTGACACGATGATTGCTGATGGCGTAATCAAACTTGTCAGACCCTACAAAATTCCTACTCGAGAGGAAAAGAATGATCCTAGGTACTGTCGTTATCATCAATTTGTGGGGCATCCAACCACTGCCTGTCAGAGTCTGAGGAGGATTTTACACGCCAAAATACATGAGGGAGTCCTTGAACTTCCCTCTAGGAAGCAAACGATTGATGAAGACCCCTTGCCAAAACGAAGGGGAAAGGAGGTAGCCGCTGTCATTACATGCTCTGATGATTTGCTTGATGATGATGAATTGTGCCACCCTTGGAGGAATGACCCAAAGCCGCCGGAAGCTATATGGGAACCTTGCGGAAACATGGAAAAGGCATATTGGTGTAAATATTCGAGGCCTTCAAGTTACAACACACCATGGCCACTCGCTGATGGATGGGGTAACAACTCAAACAGCGAAATTTTTGTTTTGGACATGCCGAAAGAATGCTACTCGGGGCGTTATCGGAACAGCAGGAAGCAGCTGCTGTGACATTTCATAATATCACGGAAGCTGAAACAAGAGTGATGGAACGTTATTTAAGCATGAAACAGGGGCCCATAGCTTCACAGGTCCTTCAAAGAAACCCAAAGTTCAAATCACTCTTTGACCAACTTGGCTTCGGGCCTCAAGCAAGAGAAGCAGCTGCTGTAGCTCTGATGAATATCTCTGAGGAGTCTAACTCTCAATGCTTTACAACTCAACCACAAGGGTCATTCTTGGGAAACAACAATGCTATTGTCTTCACAGACGAAGACATGGAAGTTCCATACCCGGACCATATGAGGCCGCTTTACTTGGAGGGACAAATCAATGATGTGTTCATAAGGAGAGCTTTGGTAGACACGGGTTCCTCTGTCAACATATTACCTCTGTCTGTGCTTACGGCAGCTGGTATCCCATTATCCAAAATTGTCCAATCACAAACAAACATCAGTGGTTTCGGGAATAAGAGTGAGGTCACAGTCGGGCATCTACAAGTAAATTTGAAGGTTGGGCCAATTTGGTCACTTACTAAGTTCTATGTTATGGATGTGGATGTGGCTTACCATGCTTTGCTTGGAAGACCATGGCTCAACAAGCATAAGCTTGTGGTCTCTACCTATCATCAATGCGTAAAAGGAAGGATTGGGCTGAGGCCGCTACGCATACCTGGAAACCAAGCACCGTTCAACAAAGATGAAGCTCACTACTCCGAGGCGGAATTCTACACTGAATGCACAGGTGCTGGAAGCAATCCATCCAAGGATTTCGGGACCTACCTTCCTTCGTGGACTGAAATTCGTGATTTAAGCAATGAGGAGCTCATCACCATTGTTGATCGAGAGAGAAAGAGGCACTCGGAAGTCAACAACCATGCCTATGATCATCCCCAATGCTCAAAGGTGACGCTGCCCGATGGACGTATCGTGTACCGCTTATGACGGGGTTGGGGGCTCGACCGTGTCTTACGGGAAAGCCCCGAGTATGGAGGGAAAGTAATGCAAACAAATAGCTGTGGGAGTTCCAACAGTAAGGCACCCATGCCTTGTGCTTTCCAAGAACCAATGGCAGCACCCAGACACATGCAAGATGGATCGGCAGCAGTAGCTGAGCAGCTGGAAACAATTGATTTGAGTGAAGATCCCTCTACCCCGAGGCCCATTTCCATAAGTGTTCATTTAACAAGTGAGGAGAGGGCGGCCTTGGTATCTTTGCTACAGGAATTTCGAGATGTGTTCGCTTGGAGCTATGAGGAAATGCCTGGCTTAAACCCAAGCTTAGTAAGTCATACTTTGAATATTGAGCTTGGTACAAAACCTATCGTGCAGCGAGAAGGAATTTTCATCCTGAAGTTGAGAGGCAAATCAAGGTGGAAATTGAAAAGTTGTTAGCTGCCGGATTCATTAAGCCAATCAAGCATCCAACACGGTTAGCAAATATTGTGCCTGTAAAGAAAAAGACCGGAGTAATTAGAGTATGCACGGACTATCGAGATCTCAACCGAGCCTGCCCAAAGGATGAATTCCCGCTGCCTAACATGGACATCTTGATTGGTTCAACCTTGGGTCAAGGATTGTTGTCATTCATGGATGGGTTTAATGGCTACAATCAGATCAAGATGTCACCCAAAGATGCTGAGAAGACAGCCTTTCGAACACCATATGTGAATTTTTATTATACAGTCATGTCATTCGGCCTTAAAAATGCTGGCGCCACTTACCAAAGAGCCATGACAGCAGTGTTTCACGACATGATGGGAAAAGAAGTCGAAGATTATGTGGATGACCTTGTGGTGAAGTCCAAAACCAGAGAAGGCCATCAAGAAGTTTTAAGGAGAGTGCTGGAAAGGTGTCGGTTGTACGGTTTAAAGATGAATCCAAAGAAGTGTGCGTTCGGGGTTTCATCCGGTAAATTCTTGGGGTTTCAAGTACACCAGCATGGCATAGACGTGGATCCTGAAAAGACTAAAGCCATAAATTCTCTTGCACCGCCTAGAAACCTAAAAGAATTGAAAAGCTTTATGGGAAGATTATCGTATATTCGACGCTTTATCCCAGGTCTTGCTGCCACCATGAGTGCTTTTACTTCACTGCTCAAGAAAGGCAAGCCGTATGAATGGAGTGAGAAGTGCCAAGAAGCTTACAAGAAGGTGCAACAAATAATCACCAAGCTGCCCACTATGAAAGCACCTATTCCGGGGCTTCCTCTCAAGCTTTATTTGGCTGCAACAAACACAGCAATGTGGGCTTTGCTTGCTCAAGATGATCATGACGGGAAGGAAAGTCCCATTTATTACGTAAGTAGGCAACTAAGGGGAGCCAAGTAAGATATCCGAAGACTGAACTCTTGTGCCTTGCTCTTGTCTATGCTGCACAGCGCTTGCGGCATTACTTCCTTGCTCACAAGCTACATCTCATGGTGAAGTCCGATCCCGTAAGATATTTGCTTACAAGGCCGGTGTTATCCGGACGCCTTGCACGTTGGCTGCTACAACTGTCCGAGTTTGATATCACCTGCACCACCCCAAAAGCCATCAAAGGGCAGGCCGTGATTGACATGTTGGCTCTATTTCCCGAAGTTGAAGAATCAACAATCTCTAAGGAAGTTCTGGGGGAGCTGCCAGAAATGGTTGCTGTAGTCACAAAGGCAGAACCATGGACCCTCTACTTCGATGGGTCTTCTACATCGAAGGGTGGAGGGGCAGGTGTGGTGCTTGTCAATCCCGAGGGGCAAGCCACGGCCCTCTCGTTTAAGCTAAATTTCCCATGCACAAATAATACGGCAGAGTACGAAGCTTTTATTGCGGGATGTCTACAACAAGGGAAATGGGTGTCAAAAGAATTAAAATTATTGGGGATTCAAACTTGGTGCTGAGTCAATTACAAGGAAATTTCGCCGTGAAGGAACCAGCATTGGCACCATATCGTACAGCTGCTGAAAGGCTTGTTCGTTCTTTCAAACAGGTTGTGTTGGAACATATCCCGGGAGTCACTAATAGATATGCTGATGCGTTGGCCACTTTGGGGTCGAGGCTCTCATTTATTGAAAAACAGCCCAATATTGCAGTAATCAAGAAGGACACGCCAGTTGTTGAAGCAATGGCTCAAGAGGAGCAGCTGGAAGAGGATGACTGGAGGAAGCTTGTGAAAGAAAAAATAGGCAAAGGAAGCGACATCAAAGAATTGAAGGATTATGCGATCATCTTTGGGGAACTGTACAGACGCCTTCCGGGAGGTATTTTGACCCGCTGCATAGGGATAACAGAAGCACAGGAGAAGCTTCAAGAGGTACATGAGGTTACTTGCAATTTGGAGCCAATAATCAGCTTGTATCGGCGCCTGCAGCGCAAGGGTTATTACTGGCCAGAAATGAGGAAACAAGCAGCTGAAATACAAGCCAATTGTCCCAGGTGTGCAAAGATACCCTCCACCGAGGAATCATTCACCGTCTCATTTGCGGAGGATTGGAGGGCTCCATACTTGGCATCCTTCATCAACGGAGTCTTGCCAACCGATCCCAAGCATGCACGCAAGCTCAAAAGGACAATAAAAAGATACTTCATAGATGGGTCAACTCTTTACCGTAAGGGGTTTAATGGTGAGCCATTAAAATGCTTGGGAAAGTCAAAGGCACAGCAAGCCATGCAAGAGATTCATGCTGGAGAATGTGGTGAGCACCAAGGAATGAAGAGGCTTTACCGGCAGCTGCTGAGTGTTGGGTATTATTGGCCTACAATGAAGAATGATGCATACAACTTTGTGAAGAGGTGCCACACATGTCAAGTTCATGCCAACTTAAGTCATAAGCCTCCCACGCTGCTGCAAGACATGCGCACTCCTTGGCCCTTTCATACTTGGGGGCTTGATTTGATCGGGACTATCCATCCACCATCCGACAGCTACATATGGATTCTCACAGCCACCGAATATTTCACAAAGTGGGTTGAGGCGGTTCCCTTGCGGAAGGCCACGGGAGCTGCCGTTGCCAATTTCATCCGTGAAAATATTGTATGTAGATTTGGGATCCCATACAAGATTGTCACCGACAATGGCACCCCGTTTGTCAATAAGCAAGTAAGCTCGACACTTAGTGGTTATGGTATCAAGCATCGTCGCTCCACGCCTTATTATCCACAAGGAAATGGTCAAGCGGAAGCCACAAACAAGACTTTATTGAGGATCCTAAGCAAAATGGTTTATGAGTATGAAGGAGGTTGGAGTGTTCACCTGCCGGATGCTTTATGGGCTTACCGCACCTCTTCAAGAAGTGCCACAGGTTTCTCGCCCTATTCACTTGTGTACGGGTCCGATGCCATTTCACCAGTAGAGATTACCATCCCCACTGCCAGAATAGCAGCTGTTAACGACCTCGAATGGGATACAAAGTCATGCTCGGAATGGCGCCTGCTGGACCTTGAAGCTTTGGATGAAAAAAGAGCGGAAGCCGAAAAGAGGACAGCGTTGTACCACACAACTGTAGCTCAAGCCTATAACAGGACAGTCAAGCCTCGCGCCTTCAAGCAAGGAGACCTCGTGCTAAAAGTTGTGGAGCATGTGAGAAGACAGGTGTCGGGACCTTCCAAGTTTGCGCCACAATGGGAAGGCCCGTTTGCAGTCAAAGAAGTTCACAGCAGCGGCTATTATCGCTTGGTCTCTGTCAAAGAAGGCACGCTGACAGACCCCGTCAATGGGAAGTGGCTCAAGCTCTACTACTGCTAAGTTAACTTTATGCCTAGTACTTTTGTATTTTCTCTCTGTCAAAAAAAAAAAAAAAATCCTTCTGTCTTATTTTCACGTTTTGAAAAAAAAAGACACTTTTGTATGATGCACCATTATGGTAGCAAGGGCTTTTGCAATGAGAATGAAGGAATATTTTGAAAAAAAATATATTGTGTCTCCAAAAACTTTACTATTATTAACCCTTTCTCAAATTTTCTCTCTCTCTCTATATATATATATATATAAACATGCCACTTAGTAGTGAAACATGCCGGGCAAAGTCACTTAGATGGGGTCCCCAAGCATCACGCTTAAGCAAAAAAAAAAAAAATAGCATAAGGCATGTTGCAAAGAGACATGCAATTTTGAGATGCTGGAACAACACGATACAACACCTGGAAGCTTTATAGAGCCCAAGTAGAAATCATGCACATATTGGCTCGACCCTTTGGGGAAGGTGGGAAGCTATTTTGTCAAGCTTAGAATCTAGATAAGCCATGCAAAAGAAACTTTCGAAAATTTTGCTTCTGTTAAAAAAAAATTTCGACAGCATATACCCTGTTTTCAATGATATCCAACCTGTCAGAAAATTTCAAGCAGTTCATAAAGACAACTCTGGCCAACAAAGCAGTACATATATATATATATATATATACACAGGAAATATGCAACATGCCTCAAGCATTCGGAAATTCATACAAGCTTCAGTAGTTTAATACCAAAATTACAAAGGCATAACGACGTAGTCGTTAGAGTCTCAAAAGAAAAAAAAACAACACTACAAACAAAGCAAAATAAAACTGCATATGCTGAAGGTTCACGCGCCCTTAAGTCACAAAGAAAGCAGGGTCATGTGCCAAGCTAAATGGTTACCAAGCCAAGGATGGAAAAAATAGAATATGTAACGTGATAAAAAAAAATAATGAATGAGCTGAGTACCTTTAGGCTATGGGGAATGTCCGAAAAGAACAAAGGAAGCCCCAGGAGATAATCTGGCCGCTGCCTCCGTCACGCACTCAGCGCTGTCAACAGAAATACCCTTAGCAAGAAGGAGGGCATGCATCTCCCGGCGCTGGTTCTCCAACTCCTGTTGTTTAATATTCAAGGCATCTGCAGCAGCTTTTACTTCATCAGAGTCATGCGATAATTGCATACTACGAATGGCCCGTGCTCCAAAGACGGCACGTGCTAAGTTCTTCACGAGTTTGAGAAGAAATTCCACGCGAAAGCCCAGAATCATGGCCTCACATATTGCATCTCGCCAACAGAGCAGTTTGTGATCCGTAATATCAAGGAGTTGCATGGTGTCCATCCCATGAAGTACTAAGCCAAGGGCTCGAAGGGCAGTGCACCTTGAGAAAGAGGAGGTGACATCTGTAGCTTCCATCAAACTTCCGTATTTGTCCATGAACCTTTTCAAGGCTTTAACCGTCTCTGGATACACGAGGGCACCTTGGAATGTCACATAACCATCGAATCTGTGGCAAAGCGGAAGAAGTTCATCAATGGATCTAAGAATGGTGACACCACTATCAAAAAAGGCTTTGAATGCCGTGTAGGAATTCTCCCAATCTTGCCAAGACATGCCTTTCTCGAATGAATGCCCTTTTGAGGAACCTGCGATAAAAGCATCACCATTCTTATGACTATTGTCAATAATCTCAGCAAAGGGACGTACTGCTGGAAGAAGTGGGGCGGTGCCGGAAGCTATGTCAGGTGTGCTCGGGATTGGAGAAGTAAGGGGAAGTACTGCCGGAAGAAGTGGAGCGGTGCCGGCAGCCATGTCAGGTGCGCTCGGAATTGGAGAAATAGGAGGAGGAACTGCTAGAAGTGGCGGAGAGGCGTCAGCAGCCATGTCAGGAGTACGCAGGTTAGGAGAAGGAGGAGGTTGCACTGCCGGAAGGCTCAGGACAGCATCAGCGACAGTAGTGGGAAAGGCAAAACCAGCCTCCGATGAAGCACCTATCGTGTCTTCAATGGTGGGCACGACCTGCAGGAGAAAAGCAAAGTATGAACTATGGGACACAACGGGCAGTATGCAATGTCAATATGCCAAGTAGAACAAGCAAGAGGGATATTTGATACCAGTTCAATGTCGACACGCTGTCCATGATTGCTAGCCAAAGCAGGAGGTGTATCTGAGCCATCGAGCTCCTCCAAGTTAGTGCCGAAGTCCGGATATGTGTCTTCATCGTGACTATAGTATTGGCCTTCATCAAGGCCCTCATCCATGCCACTTGTATCGTGAGTGCTCTCTTGCTCGTGGATGTTAATCTCAGTCCCCACAGCACCACCGTCATCGCTACCATCATCACTATTATCATCAACCGTTACCACTACTTTGGGTCCCGAGTCTTCACCTTTGTTCTTGCGGGTATTGGCAAACCGTGTTTCGAGAATACGCATGCTTCGACGCTTCGGGATCACGGGAAACCCCTTACCCTTGCCTTTACTTTGGGAAGTACCTGTAAAATAAGATAAAAGGTATACTTATATGTACATAAAGAGCGGGAAACAAAGAGAGCAAACAAATGGCAATACTTACTGCGAGGAGATGAAGCTCTTGGTGCTGCTCGCTCGCTGCTGCCGGAAGCTACAGGCTGCTGCTGCAAAGGCTCTGGCAAGGCAACTTTTCTTGAGCTAGGAGGACCACTTGCTGCTACCTTGGGGATGAACTTTTTCGGCCCTTTTACAGCTTGCCTTTTCTCGACGCTGCAGCTTTCCTCTCACTTCCGTTTCCCATGTACAACACTTTTCCCGGTGCTGTGAGAACCCGACTTTTCTAACTTCCGCTTTAGCTTCGAAAAGTCACCAACAATCTCTCCGCTTTTGGAAGTAAAAGGCAGATTTCGCTTCTCGCTCAGGGAAATGGCTTTCTCTTCCGACACTAAGCGGGCATGATGAATGATGGTGGGAATCAATCTATCACAATGGGCAGCATGGAATCGGCTAAATGAGGCGAAGCAACGGTTCCAATAATTTTGATAGGCCTTTGAGAGACTGCCAACGCGCTGCCGGTTAGCCAGGGCTAAAGCAAGAGGTCTGCCGTCTCCCGGCACGCTGTCCTTGGTCCAGAAAATCTTGTGTAATGCCAGAGAATCTCCATAGCTAGGACAGGAAGGCACTCCCTGGTCAAATCCGAGCTGTCGTCTAACCCGATAAGGAGAATAACGCACAGGAACCTCTGAGTGATCATCACCAAACGTGGGCAAAGGAAGACATGCAGCGCTTAGTAATGCCTCCCTACGCAGAGGGCAACCTTGTGCTGACGTGGCTAGGGCCTCGACCAAGACAACAGAATCTGCATAAAAAGGTGTATTGCTGAATCCCTCCGATAAAACACAGTATGGGCGGAAGATGAATTTCTCAACATCGTCCAGCAGCTCTAAAAAGTTTTGGCCCTTCCGTTGCATGCGACGGGACCATCTACAGATCAGAGGAAGACTACCCGGCATGTAGGAATTCTCGTCCGAAGCAACCAGTGACTCAGCCTTTGAATAAGGAAGTGGAGATACCTCTATCCCTTTGAAGCGTTCCCATAAAAAGATTTGCAGAAAACTGGAGTTTGCAAAAGTCTCCACAGCCATGGTTCCGGCCGCCCCCTTCTCAAGAAATTGAATCTGGTCAAGCAAGCGATATAAGTGCCCCAAGAACATGGGGGCTAAAGGGATCATGCTACCCCGTGCTATTGCCAAAGCCAACGGAAACACTCTCCCATGCAAGCAGTCTTGGGAAAAATCACAAAAGAGGAACCTCCCGAGCCACAATGACACAAACGCAGCAAGGCGACAAGGCTCATCTCGGTCACTGTTCCCAAAAAATTGAATCCAATTACTGAATCTTAGAGAAGTACTAGGAGAAGTCGGAGCACCCTTCCGTAAAGTCTCAAGCTTTAGCCCATCTTCCGGGGTTAATGCAATGTGGAAAGGATCTTGACTGCCGCAAAGTGGGAGCCGGAAAATATTGGCTACATCCTCAAGCGTGGGAGTGAACTCTCCCCACGAACAAATAAAAGTGTGTGTCTCGGTACTCCACCGTCTAACCAAGTGTCGAAGCGTCTTGGCTTCAATATGGATGTCGCAAGCCTTAGAAGCAAAGATGGCTTCCAACACACCTGCCCGGCTTAGGATATCACGGGTAGACGGGTTCTTCAGTTCATGGTCAACCCACTCCGACCAACCCTTGCTGGTGCTGCAGGGATATTGAAAGAACAAAGGAACTGCCGGAAACAGACCCCTTTCTATGCAGCACCTTGATATAGATGCGGGGTCGATCACTGGAGTAGCTTCTGGCGCTGGTTCTTCATCAATGATTATATCCTCGTCGGCACCCTTAAGCAGAGGAGGTGGTCTCCCTCTCTTCAACCTGTCATCTATGGAATAAAGATGATCCCTTATGATAAATGGTGGATTACCGGATGCCATAATAGGTACCTGCATATAGAAAAGCGGGAAGAAGCAAGATGGAATTAGCACACATAAGATATGTATCGAGCACGGCTAGTTACGGTCGTCCGAGCAAACATGCAATTTAAAATTCAAGCTCATGGCAAACAAGAGTTTTGCTCTGTGACAGGATAAGCAAGTCCCTTCTCCAAATGAAAAGTAAATAAATATTCAACCAGGCAGTACAAAACATCCACTCTGTCAAAAAATTGTTCTCCACAAGCGACACACGCAAAAAAAGAAAAATCCACAATTGATCGGACATGCGTCCTCAAGGAAAGAAAGCCTAGGCCAAGCATCAGTCTACACCTATTCTAAAATACCCAGAGTTGGCAGAGTTATTTACCAAAATCTAAGTTAGAAGACTGAAGGGTTTGAAGGTTCCAGCAGCAGAGATGTCAAGGGTTTCCAGCACCTGTATCACCTATGCCTGAAACGTGTATACCTGCACAAAAATAAACAAAGGAGAAAGCACATCATGCCAAGAATCGCCTTTTTCGTATATAAAAAGAGAACCCGTGCAGGATAAAAGTAGAGGAAAAGAAAAGGGGAGAAACCTAGGTCAACGGTTTCCTCCTACAGAAAAATGGGTACCTTTCCAGCAGCCCTAACAAATCAAAAAGGAGATTGGTGCGGAGACACTTCCTTGCTATCACCCACGCTATAAGCATCCACATTGCAAACAAAAAAAAAAAAAAAAGGGTTTGGTGCTTGACTGCCAAAAGAGGGAAATACCCATGGGTGTAAGGAACCCAACCAAATTCAAGGGGAAACAAGAGAAAAGTCATACCTCCTTAAAAATCCCAAGGGATGGCCTTGAATGCACCACAAAGGGGAGAAAAATCGGGGATTTGAAGGAGAAACCCGCGCAAGGGAAACCCTTCCAGCAGTAACGAACGGACTCTTTTGAACGAAGATGGGACGACGGGGTTGAGTTCGACTTGGGTCTTCTTCTCAGCGGCTGGAGGTAAATAATTTCGGCCTGACTTCACTCTTTCATTAGATTTGAATTCATGGAGGAGCAAAGAAAACGAAGGGAGGAGAGCTAGAGGGAAGTTTTGGTCTGGAGCGTGAAAAGAGAAAGAAATTGAAGAAATTGGTGTCTGGTGCAAGAAAAGAGAAAGAAAAGGGAAGAAAATAATAAAATAAGAAGAAGAAGGCAGTTGGCGTTGGAAACTGCAAATAACCACCGGGACCAATCATGGCACGCCGTCATTTTGCACGCGGGAAGAAGAAGAGTTCTATACAAATACAAATCTGATTTTTTGGGTTGGGTTTTAATTATTCGGCCCATTCCAGCACCTGTTCATGGCCCTTATAATTAAGGGGGCTAATGTTGAGGCCCAAAAAAATCCATGGATTGGGCCCGAGCAATTATCAGCCCAATACAATATTCCATAAGGAAAAAGAAAAAAAGGTCTATCACATGCGAGTTATAATCCACATGCCGCGCTAAATAAACAAATTATCATGCTATGATTCGCGATAAAAATATGATTAACTCATGCTAAAATTAAAACAATCCTTCCCAAGGGCGATAAATTAAAATATGCCGAGCAACATGCCATGCCGTTATCTCGCACCCAACCACGCTACAAGCCTAGGTGGGCCCAAGCCACTCAAAAAAACCCCGGGGCTTGCTTGAGTGGGTTGTGGCATGGATGGTAATAAATCAACATGAGGCCCATTGATGGGCCGGGAAATGAAAAGTCTCGGGTTACTTGGGAGCCTTGAGGCTCAAGCCCATTTCTTAGGCCCAAACATATGGGTAAGCACAAGAGAAAAAGATAGCCCAATACCCAAGCAAAACAACCCAACCAAAATAAAGCCCAAACTAAGAAGCCCAATGTTTAATAAAAACCCTTTGCTTAGGAAATCACCTTGGCCCATATAAAAATCCTAAAATAGTCCACAAAAACCTCAGCTTTTGTTTGAAGAAAACAGAGGACACGTGAAGAGAGGTTGGCAGACTCCTTAAGCAAAGCTGCTGGAAACAAGTCCCAAGCCAGAGACATCCAAAGAATCGATGAGTACTATCCCGCATGCTGTCAGAAGCATCCCTTGGACCAGTATGCATCTTCACTTCCTTTCCTTCGCCAGATTTGGTTAAAAACAGAGGAAAGGAAAGAAGAAAAAACAGCAAACCAAGAGTGGAAGCTCCCACTGCACGGCTGCGGGAAAAGAGGATGTTGAGCCCCCAAATCCCCTGAATTCATGTAAATAGACAGAAGCAATCTTTGCCAAGAAAGGGAAGTCAGAGAAGAGGAGGAGAAAGGAAGAAAAAAAACTTAGCCAAAATAAGTGGAAGCCATTAGGGTTTCTTGAAAAATGATGATTTCCAGCAGCTATAAATTGAGCCTTCCCCTACCCAACAGAGACAACCCACAACCTGCAGAGAGCAAGCTTTCTCTCTAACTTGCAAAAACTCAACAAACTCGTGCACTGTTCATCTTCTTCTCCAATTTGTTTTTCTGGCAGCTGCCAGAAGAACTCTGCCTTTCTTTTTCCTCTTTCCCTAGTCAAATTCCTCACAAAACACCTCATTCCTTACTTAAACACTTTCTTTTCTCATAAACCAAGCCTAATTTCTCTCTTAATGCTAAACTCATGTTGGTTTTGCTCCCATGCCACATGCCACTCATGCTGAGCTAAAAAGACCATCTGTAAGCATGCCAAAACTATCTGCAAGTCACCATTATTCTCGTGGTGAAGATTATCCAAAATATCTCCTAAGGTTTTGCTGCCCTTTCGAGGTATTTTGGGGCTTAATTTTCGAACCTAAACAAAAAGGGGCAATCTCCTCAGTCTGCCTTTTGCAGCAGCCCAGCCCATTAGTTGCAGGAAGAAAAAGTCCCCTACAATGGCTTCTCAGTTTTTCCATCGAAGTTTGTCATTGATACTGAGCTCAGTGTCACTACTAGGTCACTGATGCTTATAAGAATTGGAATTTGAACTGATAAGGCTCTCTTGAGTCTCTTAATTGCTACCTTATTTGATGATGCGATTGAGTATGTCGTTGGTAGTAAGATCTCTGTTGAGGCCTAGACTCATTTGCAAGATTGATATGCCACAGTGTCTAGGGCACGTGTCAATCATCTTAAAACTAAGTTTCATACTATACACAAAGGTGCTGATTCTATTGAAAAGTATTTGCTTTGGATTAAGATAGCTCGTGACCAGTTAGTTTGCGGTTGGTGAACGTATTACTGATGATGATATGGTGATCACTGCTCGTGATTCAAACCATTGGTCTTAAAGATCTTTGAGCTCATTTGCTTAATGCAGAGAGACAAGCTGAAATTTGTATGCATGCTCTTTCTCATTCTATAAATGCTATGATGGCTACGCGTGCTTCTTCTTGGTGGTGCTAAACACTTTTCACAAGGTTCCAGCTCAACTCAAGGTTCCAACTCCAGACCTTATAATGGTTAAAGGTCCCCAGTTTCGATCTTCTCCTCAGTCTGGCAAGTTCAAGTCATCTAGATATCATGGTTTTCGATTTTATTTAGACAAGCCTGGTTTTAACTCTTCTAGTTTCAAGCAACAATGGAGTACATATTCTGGTTCTAAGCCTCATGTTATCCCAGAATGTCAAATCAGTAGTAAGAGGGTTCACCACTGCTGCCAATTGTTTGTATTGCAATACTGGTGATTGAGACTCTTCTCTTGTTATTCAGTGCCAGATTTGTGGGTAAAAAAAGCCATGGTGCTCTTGATTGTTACCATCGAGCTAATTTTGCTTTTCAAGGGCAAGCACCACCAGCTTCTCTCCAGGCTATGACTGCTCACACACAAGGGTTTGAGTCTTAAGACAATTGGATTGCAGACACAGGAGCAACTCATCACATGACCCCCATATTTATTTGTGCTTGAGACTGCTACTCCATATGATCAAGATGATAAGATAATTGTTGGCAATGAGGAAGGTTTGCCTGTTCAGCATATTGGCCATGCTAATCTTCCTATCACTTTTTCTGAGTCTTTATTATTTCCTAATGTTCTGCATGTTCCACAACTATCAGCTGATTTGCTTTCTGTCTGCAAGCTCTGTCATGATAATAACTGCATGGTTACTATTGATGATGTTGGTTATTGAGTGTAGGACAAGGCAATAAGGGCAGTTCTTCTCAAGGGAAGGAGTAGCAAAGGCCTTTATCATGTTCCTAAATCTCTACATTCACCTATGTTTCTTCACCCACAACCTTTCCTAGTCAGAAAATAGACCACATCATATGGCATCAACGCTTAGGCCACCTTGCTAATGAAGTACTTGTGAAGATGTTGCACTCTTCTCAAATAGTATGTTTTCCCGATTCTTCATCTATTTGCTCAGCTTGCTTAGGTGGTAAAATGTCTAGACTTCCTTTTCCTGTAAGTTTTGACAGAGTAGTACACCCCTTTCATAAATTTCATAGTGATATTGGGGTCTATCTCCAGTTGTATCCATTGAGGGTTATAGATATTTGTACTGTTCATAGTGATAAATTTATCCGGATGTTTCCTCTTGTCAATAAATCAGACGTTTACTCTACTTTTGTCATGCCTTCATTTCTACCCAATTTTCTGCTTCTATTAATATCTTGCAATCTAATGGGGGAAAAGAATATCAGAGTCATTTGTTTAAATAGTTTTTGACATCTAATGGGGGAATAGTTTTTGCATCAGGTGTCTTGTCCTCACACTCCCCAACAAAATGGGTTAGTGGAAAGAAAAAATAGGCACATAATTGAGACTTCTGTTACCTCGATGACTGCAGCAGCTTTACCTCTTAAGATTTTGTCACATGCATGTTTGCATGCTAGTTTTTTGATCAATCGAATGCCTTCTAGGACTTTGGGATTTCGTTCACCTTATCAAAAATTGTTTCAGAAACAACTTGAGTTGCAGTCTCTACGAGTTTTTGGGTCTACTGTGTTTCCATATCTTAGTCCTTATAATGATAACAAGTTGCAGCCTAGGACTCGTCAATGCATCTTTCTTGGTTATGTTAATGGTTATAAGAGAGTGATATGCTATAACAAAGATTCAGGGAGATTATTTTTGTCTAGGCATGTTGTTCATGATGAGACTATGTTTCCTTTTAAGCTGATGCACTTAAACCCTACCTCAATTTCTTCTTCAGTGCCTAGTTCTCCCTTGCTTCTTCTAGTAGTTTTAACTACAGCCTCTATCTTAACAACAGATTTTGCTAATATCCCATTTCAGTCATCTATACCACCATCCTTACATACATCTCTATAGGATTCTACTTTATCCGCTACTCCTCCTTTCCCTTCCACAATGTTGCATGTCTTTATAGATGCACAATTACAAGTGATACTCCCTATCAACTCTTCTTCTCCTCCTAATAACGGTCCTCTACAGCAAGCTTCTCACTTTACTTCTGTAACCTCTCAGTCATATTTTGGTTCAGAGTGTTCATCCTATGACAACTAGACTCAAGGATGGTACAATATCCAGAAAATATTACTCTAATGTTGCTCATTACACACAGTCCGTTGATCACTCCTTCTCTGGTGTTACTTGTATTGCTCATATTACAGATACTAGTGAGCCTTCTTATTTTAGATTGGTTGCTTCTAACCTCACTAGTAGCAGACTATGAAAGAGGAAATTGATGCTCTTATAGTTCAAGGCACCTAGTATTTAGTGCCTCCTCCACCAAACAGAAATATCACTGGTAGTAAGTGGATTTACAAAGTCAAGAAAATCTAGATGAGTCTGTGTCTAGATATAACTGTTTCAATGAGTCGGTACCCGATGTTTCGACCAAGGAACAAACAACCGGAAAAAACCATTCCCTGCAAAAAAAAGGGATGGGACCCCCGACCAGGCAAGCCACATCTCATTACGTAAAACTTTAAAAATAGGGAATTTCCTCTCATGAAAGCAGACACAAAACTAATAATGACGGTTTTTAGTGCGGAAGGAAATGAGAATCTTAAAAAGTGCCCTTTGCGTGCCTATGCTTGGTCTTCCGTTCTGCGCGAGCGAGCACTAAATGAAAGGGGTGGAAGTTCCTCCACATTTGATGATCGTGTACATTCACGCGCGAATTGCGTATTATATAAGTGTTGTGCGATCCCGCTGTTCGCCTGCGTATTGAAACCTACCTGGGATAGATCTTCCGACTCTCGCTTAAAGATGGATTGATTGGCGGGATCCCCAGCATCAGTAGCAAAGACAAAGTCAGCAGCAATTGCAGTTGAATCTGTTGATCTGGAACCAGCAATATCAATAGCAGTATAAGCAGAGGTGGTAACAGGAGCAGCAGGAAAGGTGGCTAGTTAGCCAGATGCATTTGAACCAGAACCAGTTTACTCACCTGCAGGTAAGGGAAAAATAGACCGAGGACCGGCAAGCGGATTCAAAGTTCACTAATGAAAGCAGCAGTTAGGGCAGCGGGGGTAGCAGTTTCAGACTAGTAACAAAATCGTAGTTTAATTCAAATTACCTTCCCCCCCCCTTAACTCATAACTCAACTTCCTGTCCAGCAGGTCATGGAAAGCCTGACCCACGGCCAAAGTAGGCCCAATTCGGGTCAAAATGCCAGAGCCGCATTGACTATGCAAATAGAAGCATGGAAAGAGTATGGTGACCTAGCCCCTACTCTCTAAAGCTTGCCACCCCTATCTATTAGTAAAGCTCGAAAGGGCCCTTAACCCCTTAAAGAAAAACTAAAGACTTGTGTACAACCTCTCTCTTTTGTACAAAGGCACTAGCACTTCACTTAAAGGGCGAAGTCGCTGAAGCGAGTCTAAAGGCCAAATAGTGATCTTTGAACGCTACTACGCATCCTTACTAATAGCATAGTGTAAGGTAGGTTTGGGTATAGCAGGACTTGAACCTGCGACCATTAGGTTAAAAGCCCAATGCTCTACCAACTGAGCTATACACCCAAAAAGATATAGTAGTAAATAAGGATTGGTGCGGAAAAAAAAGAGGGCGGTCCCTTTTATTCTCAACATATTAAAGGGGCGCGGCTCTGTATGAGGCTCGTATTAGTCAGGAACAAGGGTTGGATTATGATGAGACTTTTAGTCATGTGGTTTGCCATACCACAGTCAGATTGGTGTTAGCCCTTGATGCATCAAATCATTGGGAGTTGCGTTAGTTAGACGTCAAAAATGCTTTTTACATGGTGATCTTCAAGAAGAAGCATATATGAAACAGCCTCAAGGCTTTGAAGATGCTATACATCCTTCTCATGTTTGCAAGTTACTAGTCCTTGTATGGTCTTAGACAAGCTCCTCGACCTGGAATGCTAAGTTCCCAGTTGTCTTCCTACTTTGGGTTTCACTCTATCCCATTTTGATCCGAGTCTATTTGTGAAGCATACATGCACTGACATCGTTCTTCTCCTTCGTTATGTGGATGACATTAGTTCAATATGTTATTATAGATCTGGGTGAAGCTTTGATATGAAAGACATGGGCAAAGTATCTTCAAGATTTCCTTAGGAAGGCAGCCATGGTTGAGTGTGAACCATGTTCAACACCAGCCAAACCTCATCAACAGTTTCTTAAAGATGAAGGTGTTTCTCTCCAAGATCTTACCACTTATCGAAGTCTAGTAGGGGCTCTTCAATTCACTTTCACTAGGCTTGATATCGCCTATGTTGTCAATTCTGTATGCCAGTTTATGACAGCTCCTATAGAGATTCATTTTGGTGCAATCAAATGTATTCTCAGGTATCTCAGGGTACCTCTCATTATGGTCTCACTTACACTTCAGTGATATGCAACTCCTGTTTTATAGTTATTCAAATTAGGCAGGAGATCCACTATAGCGGCGCCTCTCACACGTTTGACAAGGAATGGAGTTAAGTTCGAATGGTCAGATGAGTGTGAGGAGAGCTTCAATGAACTCAAGACCAAGTTGACCACCGATCCAATGTTAGCACTTCCGGATGATAGTGGGAACTTCGTTATTTACAGTGATGCATCCGGACAAGGACTTGGTTGTGTGTTGATGCAGCATGGTAGGGTAATCGCTTATACTTCTAGGAAACTCAAGAAGCATGAGTTGAATTATCCTATTTATGATCTCTATGGGGAAACGTGCCAAATTTTCATGAATCATAAGAGTTTGAAGTATCTGCTCATCCAGAAGGAACTGAATTTGAGGCAAAGGAGATGGTTAAAGTTGATTAAGGATTATGACTGCACCATTGAGCATTATCCTAGGAGAGCTAATGTGATAGTGGATGCTCTCAGCAGGAAGTCTTCTGGGTTCGTAGCTTATCTTTGAGAGAGATATCTTCCATTGTTGGTTGAGTTGAGAAAGTTGAGAGTTGGATTAGGTATGGATGAATAGGGAGCCTTATTGGCCACTCTTTATGTGAGATCAGTGTTGGTAGAACGAATACCTGCAATCCAGTCGCAGGATCCACTGATCTGTACACTAAGATTAGAGGTCGAGAATGGTACCAAAACTGATTATTCAGTGAGAAATGATGGAGCTTTGGTGGTGGGTACTAGATTGTATGTTCCTGATGATGAAGCATTAAAAAGGGAAATTCTTGAGGAGGCTCACTGTTCGGCTTTTGATATGCACCCTAGCAGCACAAAAATGTATCAAACTTTGAGAGAACATTATTGGTGGCCTTTGATGAAGAATAAGATAGCAGAGTACATCAGTAAGTGCCTAGTTTGTCAGCAAGTCAAGGCTGAGTGGTAGAAACCATCACGGTTGTTGCAACCACTTCCGATTCCTGAGTGAAAGTGGGAGCACATCACCATGGATTTTGTGTTCAAGCTTCCTTGGACACTGAACAAGCATGATGGAGTTTGGGTAATTGTGGATCGACTCACCAAGTTCGCTCATTTTTTTCCAGTGAAAGCGAACTATACTTTGAATAAACTGGCTAAGATTTTGATAGATGAGATTGTAAGATTGCATGGGGTGCCAGTATCCATTGTTTCAGACAGAGATCCCCGGTTTACATCCCGTCTTTGGGCGAAGTTAAATGAAGCCTTTGGAACTCAATTGCGGTTTAGTACTGCATTCCATCCCCAGACTGATGGTTAATCAGAAAGAACGATCCAGACTTTGGAGGATATGTTGAGTGCTTGTGCTTTGCAATTTCGGGGAGACTGGGATGAGTATTGAGATGTCGCCATTTATGGAGTTTGCATATAATAACAATTATCAAGTAAGTATTGAGATGTGGCCATTTAATGCTTTGTATGGAAGACAGTGTAGGACACCATTGTACTAGGAGGAAGTGGGTGAACACATATTGAAGGTATCTAGGATGTTGAACGAACAAAGAAACAGGCTGAATTGATCAGAGAAAGACTCAAGGCAGCCCAAGACCGACAAAAGAGTTATGCAAATAATAGAAGAAAAGATCTTCAGTTTGAGGTTGGTGACTAGGTATTCTTAAAATTGTCGTCTTGGAAAAGTGTGGTAAGATTTGGGAAGTGAGGAAAGTTAAGTCCTCGTTACTATGGGTCATACGAGATTTTGGAGCGTGTGGACCTATAGACTTGCCTTGCCCTTAGATCTTTCCCGATTACACGACGTATTCCATGTTTCCATGCTCCGAAAGTATATCCCTGACCCTTCCCATATTCTAGAGGAGCAACCAATAGAATTAAAGGATGATTGAGTTATGTGGAGCAACCAGTTGCAATTTTAGATTGGAAGACGCAGGTATTGCGCTCTAGAGAGATCCCACTGGTGAAAGTCTTGTGGAGGAGCCATAATGTAGAGGAGACTACTTGGGAAGCCGAGGATCAAATGCGGGATTAGTACCCTTAACTCTTCGAGTGACAGAGGGAGGTGGATTGTAACAACCCAATCCTTAATTAGTTTTTAATTATTAATTTATTCTGAGAAAAGATTGTTTTACCCCTATAATATTTTATTAGGTTTGAAGTTGACTTTTTGACCAGGAAGGAAATTGGAAAATTTTGCTTGTACCGTTGTGTAGACCACGTTGAAATAAGTCCGTAGACATATAATGGGCTCAAATCCGAGTTGTAACGAGGAAGATAAGATTAAAATACATTGAGGAGGCAAAATGGTAATTTTGGAAGTTAGATTTTTTTTAAAACCTCTCTTTATCTCTCTCACCCCTCGCGATAACCCCCCCGACGTTTTTTCCAGCCGGTTCCTTCCCTCCTCCCAAACCACGGTTGCCCGGCCACCGCTAGTCATTGGACCAATTCAGAAAGGACCGGCTTCTCCTCCGTTGCACAGCCCCACCTTCCTGCCGCCAGCTGCTGTCGCGAGCCACTGGAGAGAGGCGTTGAACCCAGCCAGAATTTACTGAATTTTTGGCTGGCTGTTTTTCTCTCCTCCGGCCTCCAAATTAGAGAAATAAGGTATGGATTTCCACCTATTTTTCGTGCTCTAACTAATGGTTGGGTAGGATTTGAAAATTTTCTAGCTGATGTGGGTTAATTTTCAACCCAAAGTTTGGTCGGTTTTGGATTCGCGATTCCAGCCACTTCCAGTCTTTTTTCGAGGTAGGTCCAAGAACAGATGTATCTCCAAATGAGGTTTTACACCTAGGGTAGGAATCTTGGCCGGCGGTTTGGAGTATTTCCATATGCCTGAAATTGATTTGCACACCCACTTGCGGCCGGCTTGTGGGCTGCGCGTGGGTAAGGTGTTGGGGCTACATTCTATCCTACAATGATCCCCTGGTCCTCATGAGCATGTAGATACTTTCGGATTCCAATTTGGTTAACGTTTGAACCCCAAACAGATCTCGCCTATTGTCCAATTTCCGGGTTCGATATGTTTGAACCGTTGGATCATAGTCAATTTCAAATATGTTGATCTAGATAATTTCAGGATCGTTTAGGATTCGACGGATCGTGAATTAGAGTCCCGGATACTCCGAAAATGCCAACTGTGTTAGGTTTACAGTAACCGCCCAATCTTGCTATCGTGAGCGATCCGACTGTTCGATTGAGACCGAACTCTCGGGACATGTGTCTTAAGCATATTGGAACCTTTAGGAACCCTCGGATCAGAATTTGGAAGTTGTGGACCCCACGGGGTACCGGGTTGACTTTTTTGGAGTTTATCGCTTTTTGAGTCCTGGATCTTTTCTAGACCATTCTAAACATGAGAAAAGCTTATGTGGGTAGAGGAATGACCTTAAGGTTAATGCACGCACTTCTAGGAGTCGGAGGTCAGGGGTTTTAATTAAAGATTTTATTGAGAATTTTTTTAAATAAAATATTATGATGGTTTAATCAGGCACCCGGGCACAAGCAGACTCGCAAGAGAGACCTTCGAAAGGTCCAGCTAGCTCCGACCAGCTGTGAGTGGACTTTTGTTTTCATAAATGAATTTATGCAATTCAATTTCATTATTTGATCTTGAATAAGTATTAAATAGCTCGAGTTTTTCTAGCATATTTTTGCTGAGGTTAAATATTTTATTTATATGCTGTCGAGTTGAGAATGCTTAAAAAATATGAAAAATAAGAATTTCAGAGAACTATCAGATGGGATGGCGGTAGAGTTTTAAGATAAAAAGAATTTGTCTTATTTATGCCATACCTTCCAGAAATTTATATTTTCTTAAAACCACGCTAGGTACTCAAATATAATAAATGTTGCCTTCGGTATTTCTGTTGCCTTTAGATACATTAGTTGCCTTCAGTTAGGTCAAAATGCTTGACTTTTACCTCATGAGTCTTTGGGATGTTCGGACTGTGAGAGCGAGGAATGCGGACCAGGTTGACCAAATGTCTCCTGAATCCTAAGAGGATTGCGGCTCGAGTGACTTCGTGTTTCCCGAGGCCTGCGAGGACGTGACGCTTCGGTGGCACGAGGAATTGAGGGGTATTTGTGGGATTAAACGAAAATAAAGGAATTGACGGAAATAAAATGAGTGTGCCTAGGTGGTAAACTAAATTTCATTTTCAATGTCTTCAGCGGAAGGATGTTTTGAATAAGTATGTGAATGGTTATCTAAATATAGATATGAATGTGTGATTTCTGTATGAATATGGATAAAGAACTTGTTTAAGTTTTTGCAACTGTTTTTACAGTGGGGTTAGTACGTTCATAGTTAGTTTCAAAACTTTATTTTTGGTCCACTCACATTTTTCAATGTTTTGCCCCCCTAGACAGTAGGCGTGCACCAGTGAACCACCACTGGGCAGTTTTCACCTTCCGTCTCATCTTTTGCCAATGTAGGGTTATGTATAATTGAATTATACCTATAAATTAATCTATTTAGTTGCTCTGGTGTTGCACCTTAGGATCCAAATTTAACTGTTCGAATGTAAATATATGCATGCTGGCAGTTGGGAATATAAATATATATATATATATATATTTGTTTGACATGTGTAAACTTGGGAAATGATAAAATTACAAAGGAGACTCTACCGAATTTTCGGCAGAAGTCAGGCCTAAAATAATAAGAGAATTTGAATAGAAGGGCAATTTATTCATTTGTGCCCGGCATCTGCCGGGTGTCAGACACACACAGGGTTCGACTCGGATTCCCAAGTGGAATTTGGGTCGGGTCCTGTCATTAAGAACGTTTGGTGATATTAAGCCTAGTACTTGTGGCTAATTTGTCTTCAAATCGTGGACAAAATAGCTTTGCCGATGACTTTTCTTCCAAGACTAATTGGTTGAGTCGTTGAAGCAATAAATCAAAATCATCTTGGCTCCTTATGAGGGCGAGACGCACAAATCGATCTTCAGCACCAAACTGAGAACCTCTAAGCCCGTAAACGTTGGCTTCTTCTTTGAGGACTGCATAGCAATCTTTATCCTCTTCCCTTTCGCACTTCACCCATGCATAAGCTGCAGTGAGGAAATTTGTTAATTTTTCATAAATGAGATCTTTTGATCACTTAATTAATTTAATTTTCAGAGGTAATAATATTATATATCAGAATCATGAGATCATGGGAACATCCAACAGCCACATCCGGTACGCAACAATTGGTCAGAATCATAGTAGTGTTGAATAGCATGAATATATATTAGCTAAAAGGAAATTATAAATGCTTCAACATGAAATGAGCAATGAAATTTAGATCAAAGAGAGAAAAATGCTTCACTGGTAAATGATATATATGCTTAAAACCGTGAAGATTCCCCAACGATAAGGCTTCGAGTGGTCAAGTCCTTTGACGACCGAAACTAATATAAGTTTTTATGTTGTTCAGTTGTTTGATTACAGTTAATATTTGACGCAATTAATCAATGGTTGTATTGAGCCACATGCAAGCCTGCGATGGCCGTGTTCCTCCAAAACTCCATGAAAACCCCATTATTTCTTAAGCACTATATGCAATATTAGTTAAAATATAACTCTATATAATTTTAAATTTATAGTACTAGCCCCCCCCACATATTAGCTTCTAGCTCCGCCACTCTCTCTATGTTTGTAATATTGCAAAATAGGTGGCACGGGGCACGCCCGTAATCTCACAAAAATGGCAAAGTATGCCTAAATCCACGACCTTGCAAATCTGGGTCGTAGGTGAAAAAAGGGTTAACAATTATTCAATGATGAAAGAAATGTATGTTACAAAAAATACACAGCAATTAATTATATAATAGTGATGGGAATGTTACCTGGTGAAGGTTCTCTAGTTTTCTTGAAAAAGGTGCAGTGTTTGGGTGCAAATTTTTGCAGACTAAAGCGATTTGATACAGAGAGGACGTTGCTCAATTTTTCCCAACGCTTTCTCATAGTGTTATATCCGAATTCAAAAATATCCTTTCCTCCCCCTTCAAGGACTACATTCAAAACCTTCAAAGCTCTCAGCTGAGCATCTCGAGAAATACCCATGCTATCTATGAGCGTATACATGGCCATCTTTTGGAACACAGACTCATCCTTTACCACAGCCCACCTGTGCAAGAGCCACAAGAACAAATATTATAGCTACCGCAAAGGGTTTTGTTTTCAACTCGATGCCTAAATGGAAAATTGAATAGGGGACCTTTGTCTTTTTGTATAGAACATATACTAGCAAAGGACTTACTAGTGTAGTGTTTTGGAGCAATTGCTCTCCCCCATGAAAGGTCCTGGGTTCGAGTCCTAGCATCCGTGTAGTGTGTGTGAGTTTAGTATAATATATATGGCCCCGATCAATAGAAAAATGTCAAAAAACGTCATAGATGCAGTTCATTTTTTCTGCATTTTTCGTTCCGGATATATGTTGTGATATAGAAGGGAAAGAAGTCCCCAATAATAGCAAGGTGATAAAGTTTATAAATAAAATAAAATAAATAGAAGTGAAAAGATATGCTAGAAAATGATGGTTAGGTTGTTACGTACCCGAATCTGCTACCAGCATGGCCAGTGAGCTTAGAAATTGCAAATATCATGATATCATCATTTGCTGGAGTAGGAATTGCTGTAAAATGTGGCCAGTAATAGACACGATCATAGATTGCTTTGGCATTTGGACCTTGAACATTTGCCTTATTCAGCTGGCCATCAGGATTGTTTGGTGAGGTAACAAACTCAATAACATTAGTAGCATCTGAGATGTTCTGCAACAAGGATGCATCCCCTCGAAATACATAGTCCATCGAACGAAAAAACTCCGTTTGAATTCGGTAATACTGGGAAAATCGAACATCAAAACCATATATATCAGTCAGCGGTATATTTGTACCATCTCAATTGGTGATTTTATGTATACAGGTATCACCCACCACAGAAGTAGGTCCACACACGTACACGTTAATACTATCTATATACTATATAGAAATAATACAGAAGATGATTTCTTGAGATGATACAAGTTTATTTATTTATTCTTTGTACGTAAAATATGTAAGCAGTAAGTTAGGCACCCACATTGTAATAAGGAATTGAAGCTACAACACTTGCAGGCGAGGAGGAGGAGCTTGAATTATGGGAAGACAGTGCATGAACTGCAGCATTGAGAAGTTGGGTTGAGCCAGCACCCAAAAACAATGTATCTTCCTCCAGTCACGGCATTTCCAACGATGGCATGAAGTTTGCGAATGTGCCTTTCAAGCTCTGCTGAGATGTAAGATTGATCAGCAGAGGTATAGCTCATTCGATGCCAACCTGCTACTACAAGTGCACTTTTTGATGCATGTTGCATCCAAAATGGCTCCAAGAAAAGTGGGTCTCCACTGCATCCAACAACACACATGAGCTGATAATGAAGATCATAAAATTAGATGTGCCATTAATATATATATTTTTTTTTCAAAAATCACCATTAAATTACATAGATCCAAATTGGAAGCTCTGTTCAATAGGATGTAGAGCCAACCTTGGCCAGGGCAACTGGGGCCCATAATTGAAAGGGGCACAAAAAAAATCCAGTTAAGCCATATATACGTATGGAACAAAACAAATAAAAAAACTAAAAGTCCTCAGAAAAAAATATAAAATAACTAGGCGTGCATATTTGTTTAATCCTTCCCAAAAGCGAGTGCTAACCCATATATACTAGCAAATATGTTGTTTTTTAATCCTAGCCCCAAAAAAAAACAAAAAACAAAAAACAAAACCAGACCATACTAGGGTTTAGATTCTTGTTGTCTCAATTTTCCCTCACTCACAGAGTCACACCGCAGCCTCTATCCTCTCCATCGCCTCTCTCTTTTCCCTATCCTTTCCTCTCCATGGCAGACGAGACGAAGCCAATAGAGCTGTAAGTCCTTTCTCTTTGTCTATTTATTCTCTATGTTACTGCTATTTCCAAATAATCACTTTGTATGGGCGTTCTTGTAGATTCAAGGTCGCCAATTGAGAACTTATTCGTTGAGAATTGAGATGGGTTTCAGGTCCAGACCCAGATAAGCAACAAAGAAAATTTTTCTTGGGTCTTAATCTGTTTTGCAGGGGGAACATGAGTTCTATAATAGATTACCAAATGAATTGTTCATATTCATTTGGAAGAATAGGCAGAAAATGAAAATGAATTGAAAATTTATGATGCAAAAATGGCAGATTTACTTTTAGAAAAGTTTCATGTAAGAGAAACTAACTGCAAATTCCCTATGGATGAACACGATGACATTTTTCCTCAAGTTATTATCATCAAACAATAACAAATGGGAAGGCTCATGTTGTAAAACAATGAATGCTATAATTTTAATAATAAAATTAATTAATTGATAAAACATTATAATTTTAGTGATGACTTTATTTATAAGGCACACTTTACATTTTTGCCTTGGGCCTCAAGTTACCAGGGCCGGCTCTGTATTAGGACGAGAAATTGAACGGAGCGTTCAATTTGGAGGTAAGCTTTAATAGTGAAAAGGTGGACTTAGGTAGAGTAGCTTTTGGCACAAATTAATTTTTTTGGATATTCCCTTTGTCAAGCCACTGTATTACCCTATTCTTGACATGGTGACAGAAATCTTGGTGGTCACTTATGGAAGTAATTAATCTATCCAGTAAAAGAAAAAAGAAATATGAACCCGTCCTACCAAATTTTTTTGGCTCCAAAGTCCTTTGCATGTGAAATTTTGTGTTTGAATTCCTTTCCCTCGATATCATTTGTGTAAAGAAAAAAATACTACACTGTAACATTATGCAGTATGTAGTGTTGTATTTGACATAGAGTGAAGAACAAAATAATTCATCTGAAAGCTAGTAGAAGCATTTAAGAAGCATGATGGAGGAGATGGTGCCAAAAAACATCCCTTGTTGATGAAAGGTATAATTCTTTTCAGAGAAATACGTATAGCTACCATCCACTACTCTTTGTCTATTGTATATACGAGGGAATATTTTATTCTAAATATAAATTCAAAACTATTAGAGTTTATTAAGAATAATCCTCGTGATCTAAAAGACCCCTATTTTAAAACATTACATTACTAATATGTGTCATGTGAGTTTTGTTTTTGGAATCTTTCAGGGGTCCAAATTCCATAATAAAAGGAAAAAAACCAAGAACATAGAAATGCACTAAATATATTAAGGGTCATGCTAGGAAGACCAACTTTAGATATCAACTTGTGTACCATTTTCTTAATAGAGGTGGTGCCCATCAATACAATGAGTCACACGCTCTATTAGAGAGATGATACACAAGTTGGTATCTAAAGTTGGTCTCCCTAGCATTATCCATATATTAATAAAGTAAATTGAGTTTAGACCCATAAAATTCATTTTTAATCACCTACAACCCTTTCTTTTATTTTTCTATTTAAAATACCCAATTGTTTCAAATTAAACCCGATGACTAGGATCCAAGTAAGCAAGTTACCTAATCAAGTTTAAAATCTGATTTATTCTATTTTTTGGATTCCAAAACTACCCTTATTTACAAGTAAACATGTTATGTAGGGATATAACTAATGAGACACGTTTAATTTAAAAAGATCTTCAAATGGTTGTAATGGATGTATGAATTAATTTAGAAACATTGCCTAAATCGTAAACCCTATTAATAAAGTAAACATTGCTTTTCGCATCCCCTAGACTTTGCATTTATTTATTTTTTTTATTTTATTATTGCAGGACTTTCCTAAAGCTTCCTAGTTTTCAGATTTTCTGAATTAAAAACTTCTGGGCTATTTTTTTTCTTTTCAGTACAACCTTTCTGCCCTCCGAATTTCCCAAGCTCCCAAACTAGCTAAGAATATAGTGTGTTTATTTTGTGTTTGTGTGTGTGTGTGTGTGAGAGAGAGAGAGAGAGGAGAGAGAGAGAGAGAGAGAGAGAGAGACCTGCCAGCATCTGCTGCACAACCAGGCAAAAACTCAGAGCAGTGAGGGCCTCCATAGCAAGAACTGCATTCACAAACAGGCTCCTTGCCATCGAGAGTTAACCCATCCAAGTAGGCTTTTCCATGCCCTGAGCAAGAGATGGCTGCCACATACTCAGCTTCTTCTGCTGCCCTTCTGCTCCAACTCAGTTCCCACTCTCTACCCACATATAGTTTGAAGATCAACAACAGATTGAAAACTAAAGAAAATGCAAGGCACACAAGGTAGAAGCTTTGTGGCTTAGCCATATACGTCTAATTTCTTTTTTCAGGCTCTTGCATAGGAGCCTTAATGATGATATATATAGGAGACTTAATGATGTATATTGTAAAACAGATCTAGAAATAGGACAGCAATGACAAATGTAATATGCGTTAGGAGGCAAAGCCTTGACGACTTTACAGTCCTCCATATATATATATAATATTACATATATATCTACATAGTATATTTACGGAGAGCATTGACGACTTTACAGTCCACCATATATATATATAATATTACATATATATCTACACAGTATATTTACGGAAAGCCTTGACGACTTGACAGTCCACCATATATATATATATATATATATATATATATATATATATCTACACGGTATATTTACGGAAGCTGCACTGCATGTCAATGGTTGTGGTGGCTGTAGCCCACGGAAGTTTCTGGGGAAAAAATATAAGCCTATTTTAAATATAGTCCAATGTATATATTAATCTATTAAAGTTATAAAAAAAATCAATTATTTATGAATTTAGTTGTAGGGCAACAATAAATATACACATTAGAATAAAAGAACTCATCAGTTTGACAACCCTCTCCTTACATCGTAACAAAAACACTTCGATTTCAAGTAAATAGTAAAGTCCTTAGCCGCCCCTAACTCACCCACTTGTTAAAACAGCCTTGACAACAAGATGGTGAACAAGTTTCTAGTGAATTATATGATTGTCTATATTGAAAAAATAGCTTATTGATTCAGAAGCAATAACAAAAAAATATCAATTCTTGCAAAGGATTGCAAGCCACAACATGAATACGTACACTTTAATTATTTTGTTGAACATATTTAATTTTGACAAAATGTATTTTTTGGTCACATTTAAAATGTATTTGTTTAATGTTTAAAGTTTATTGAAACTTAGTCAATGAAGCTATAAACTAGCGTGGTTTGTATGATTTAATGTTGTTAGGTTCTATTTAGCTAAGGTTTTTAGCTTCCCTTGACTACTTTGTAATTGCACATGTAATTCATCAAGCGCGAGATTAATTAGATTAGGATAGTCTAGTTGAAGATGATTACTATGGCTGAGATCAAGAACGGAGCTAGGATTGTATGTGTTGGGGGCCAAACCATAACACAAGTTTTTAAAAGAAAAAAATTCAATCCTGCAACAATAAATAATAGACTATAGAAAGGGCATTGATTTTATTTTATTTTATTTTTTAAGAACTAAAATCATAACATTGCATTAAGAAGCAAGCATAACATCATCAATAAGAATGAGAGACAACCATTCAGGTTCGTCTTCCATCCTAACTATAAGGTTTGAAATAGAAAGTGCAAGGCTATGAGTCGCATGATTACAAGTACGAGGTCGAAACTGACCAAAATAACTCTGAAATGAATTAGCCAAAACCTGAATTTCATTTACTAGAACAAATTTGTAGCCCAAATCTGCATCACATTGGAAAGCCGTATTGCTGCTTGTGCATCTGACTCTAAATATATATGTTGCAACCCCAAGTTCATAACAAGTTGAAGGCCAAATCTGATTGCAAATGATGCAGTGCTTTGGTTGCTGCTGCAATCAACTCTCCACGATCATCTCTAATAACATCTCCCAACCCTCTAACACAACTCCCAGAAAGGGCATTGATTTTGAGTATTGTTGGAGGATTAATCGGCTAATGTGGAGTTGTAAATGTATGGATTTTGTAATTTTCTTTTGGCTTCCCTTGACAAGTTTGTAAATGGACAATCATTGTACGTATTTTCTCAAGCTCAAGTTTATATTAAGAATTTCATCTCTAGGTGTGTTCTTATCTGGCTACATTATGATGGACAACATTGTGTTTGACAAAGGTATGTTTTGCATTGCATCACATTGCATTAACCTATTCCTGAAAATTATGACTAGTCATCCTTTCTCCATATGACTAGTCAACCTTTGCATTTGTAAGATTTTCCAGGTCACTGTTTCCAGCTGGATCCTACCCACTTTTTTGTCATATTCTGCGAAATCCTCTGCTGCCTTGTGCGATTCCGACCTAGGAATTTTTGTGTAAAAACGCATGCATTCCTCATTTGGTAGCCGTCACTTTGGGGGACAAGTTTTGGAAAGTTCCATAGCAAACTTTCGCTTCTTCTTCCTCAAGAGTAACCTTCATACACTACGCCAATATTGCAAAAACACGTCACTTAAAAGACGTTGAAACTTGAAGAAAGCGTCGTGGCTTTAAAATTGGCTACAAACCACGTCAGTGGTTATAAAAGCGACGTCTTAAGGCATCTTTTACGGTGGTAATCCAAAACATATTTCTAAAACACGTCAGTTGTCAAGAAGAACCGACGTGCATCCAAAACACGCTACACACTGTTTCACTTAAGTTGTCCCTCTCAGCTTCACCAAAAACCGTCGTTGTCTTTCTCAACCTAATTTTTCACACCCCGCTCAATGTTAAGTTTCCCTCTCCATGAAAATTCCTTTCCCTCTCGATGAAGCCCTCTCTCCCTATCTGAGTTCAAACCCTCTCTCTCTACCTTTCTATCACATCTCTGCACCTAAACCCTCTCTCCCCAGCTCAATCCTTTCTAAGCCGACTCTCACATCTCAGAGAGACAGAGGCAACGAGGAGGTGGACTTCGGTGTCGGCTTCGTCACGAGGATCGACGTCGGTGCCGTCTTCTGGATCGTCGTCGGCGCCATCTTTTGGATAGTTGTCATCGCAGGTAACTTCTCTTCGAGGTCCAGAGAGCGAATCAGAAAGACAGTCGAAAAGGTGATGGCCATTGGCGTCATCGACAGAGTGAACGTCGTCATTGCGCTCGTTGTCTGCTTGTCGTTGTCACGGTCATCGCGGTCCTAGCCTTTTAGAAAAGAAGATCGGCAAAGAGGTTTCATTTCATTTTCCTCGACTCTCCGACCCCTACCCCAACCCCAACTCCAAATCCTCTCTTCGATCTCGGACCTCAATGTAAGGCTCTCTCTTTCTCTCTGTGCTACCACTCATATGTTTAAAGATTTTTGTGATTCTAATATTACAGAGAGATTTTAGAGATTTCAGTTATATTGCTCTTTGAATTTTGAGTGATAGTTTAGTTTCTGTAAGATTCACTTACTATTTTAATGAATTCACTGGTGACCATTTAACTTATATATTTTGTTTGTATTGTTCTTTGTTCTTCTGTATAGATCCATATCTCTTGTTTGGCAGTCTGCAGGATCTTGTGGACTTGCTGGTTGAATGTGCCTCTCATATATAATGTATGTTTATGTTTTGATTTTTATTTAAATCATATGAATTCCTAAGTGCATTGACAACTAAAATTAATTGATTGGTTTGTGTAGCAATAGTCTAACTTGTGGATTGGATTTGCTTGCAAGTTTGAATATGAATATATGCTTATCAGAATAGCTATAGCTTGCAAGTTGGAACCACATTATTAATTATGTGGATATAATTTTATTTTTTCACCACCCTTTCAGTATGTATATCTTTTGCAATTTAACTGGAGGAATCCCACAATGCATGAGTGGTTTAAATTTAATTCACTTGTCAAGATGATACTGCAGTTGTTCTCAAGTCAAGGCTGAGGCATCTGTTTTATTGTTGGTGGACCTCATATTCAACATTTTTTTGCACTTGAATTTCTGTGACTCTCCACCCTTGCCATTTCATTTCTGAACTTCGTGTTTTGTAATGATTTTCCTTAGGTAGTTTCTAAACTACAATACATTGACCTTTGGGGGAGTAAAATATCTGACCAAGGTACAATTCCTTGACCTTTGTTGTTAAAGTTAGCATCTGGGTTCAATATTTTGTTTTGAATGAGGCTTATGTTTTGTTTGGTTTAATTTGATAATTGCTATTGGTTATATATATATGGTTCTATTTGAGTGGGTTTAATTTGGTTCTAATGCAGAGCAAATCCTCTGTTTTATTACTTTTCAGTTTTATCTCTCCTTTCATTTTATTTTGTGCTTGCTCATTTCAGTTCTAGGCTTAATCACCCAGACTATATCTTCTAAACTTCGTTTTCTTTTCTCACATGATTATCAAGTTTGGCTTAATCACCCAGGCTGTTTGTTCTGACAGATAAGTTTGCATTAATTTTATGGTGTTATCCAATTACAGGTAATTGCTGGATTAGCAGCTGATGGAAGGCAAATTGTTGGCAGGACCAAGTCTGAAGCTAACAACTATGAAAGCCTACATGGTAGTATATATGTCATTAACTCTCTCCGAATCTCTCTCTCAGTAAAGCAGGTAGTACTGGATTAGTCCTCAAGCTGCTGTCATTCTAAAGTTGCATAGATCTTTTTGCTAAGTTTAGGTTGTTGCTAAACAGGTTTATGTTTAAAGTTATTGGGGTCTCTTTCGTGCAGGTCCTTCCGACACCACCAACTTGAAAAATGTGCAAGAAGGCAAAGCTAAGTCAACCCAATAACAAATTGATGAAGTTAAGATCAAATTAGTAGAATTTGTGAGCTCCATTATTTCTAATTATAGGTAGGAAGTATGTATGTAATAGAATAAAGATTGGTTGATTATGTAATAATTATTGAATCTTCAAGTTTTATGAAAGAAATAATTTTTGAGTGTATATGTTCGTTAAAAGCAATATAATTGGTTTTCTAGTTAAAATCATTGTATAGAATCATAGGAAACCAAAAACTAAAATGTAATAGCTTGGGAACCTATTAGACGACAAATTTAAAAATAATAAAACGATGGTTTTATTGAAAAATTGTTGTTTGTACATATAATTAATGATTGTTTTAACACAATACCACCATCTTTATATACAATCAACGACGCTTTTTAACAAAATATTGACGTCTTTACCCACAAATGACGACAGTTGTAATAAAATACTGTCGTTTTTTAAACCAAAATCGTCGTTAACTATAAACAACGACGGTTTTTAACAAAAAACTGTTGTCTTTACCTCAGAACAACGACAGTTTTACCAAAAACCGTCGTCTTTACAAATAAACAACGACGGTGAAAAGCCGTCGTAGTT